ATATTATTTATTTTTGATCAACTTATAATTACCTTTTTGGTAATTACTTATTGGAGAAGTGTTTTCTTTACTTATTTCTTACTTTGATGGAAAGTATAATTATGTTACTAAAAGGAAAACTGGTCCTCTCTCTATCTTTATAAAAGTGCATATACTCCATCAATTATGTACGATTAATGATACAACACGTAAAAGTTTTATGTGTGCAAAAGGTCAAGAGAGAGAAACCAGTTTTTACCTTTGCCTGTTGATCAGAGTTGCAGATTAATTCGTGGTTAGAGGATCTAGACGTTGAATTTAATCTCAACAAGTTTAATATCTGAATCGACGTATTTATATCTAACCATTTATTTATGCATTATAGATATGTAAAAATTATGAAGTTCTAAAATATGAAATTCATGTAAATTCGTGATTAATGACTTAACACGAATTATTAAAGTTTACAATCAAATCCATATATGGATGCAGCTGCTGAGTTTTGCAGAAGAAGGTGGCGACGATCAATTTTATTATCATCATTGGGCATGGCTGAAAGCTGACGTGCCGCCTCAGACGAGATAAAGAGCACGAAAAAAGTGATCAGCAGAGATACCCGAGAAGCAGATGAAATAGCCATATGTATGATGATAATTATATCATGTGATGCTTAATTTACTTAATAATGGAACTAATTAGCTAGCAAAGAGTGCTATTTATAGGCCGGCTGGACCGCATATATGAGTGCATGTAATTAATTAATGCACTATTCTTTATGTGATTAATTACATGCAAATCTGAAAAAATAAAATAAAAATACGTGCAAATTTAATGGGAGAAAGAGAGGCCAAGTGTACGTGACTGTGTTTGTATATATATTTATGAATGTTTTTTTCTTTTTTTTTTCTCTTTTTTTTTTTTTTTTTTTTTTTTTTGGTGCTGCTTGAACATTTTAAATACTTGGTATTAAATATTAAGTATTAAATGTTTTAATATAATATTAAACATTTTATAGTATTAAATACTTTTTTTTCAAAAAAAAATGTATTAAATATTTTTTCCTCAATTAATGGTGGTATTAAATATTAATATTTAAAGTATTAAACATTTTTTTCCGGTAAAAAGTATTAAACATTAAATACTTGGTATTAAATAATAAATATTACAAGAACTAAATATTTTGTATTAGTTATATTATATATTGAATGAATAAAACTGTCCAGAACGGATGAAGTTAATTTAAATATCAAATATAAGAGGTAATGAATGTAGATTGTAGACCTCACTTTCTTGCACAGTATATATATATAATATAATAATGAGTGTAGACCTTGGGGCGACAGTATGGTTGTTTTGTTTGACCTGAACGTATTGTAAGTCGTAACCCTCCATTTAATATTCTTTGGATAGTAAAAACGTAAATCTTTGCAGTGTGCAGTACTTGTGGCTTTCTATCCATTCGTATTGTGGAATTTTTTTTTTTTTTTTTTTTTTCCCCTGAATGATATTGTGGCTTGCCATGGGTTTTGCAACGGGCCGGATTAATAATTTGGATTTGTAAAAGAAATCATTTGAGTTGCTAAAAATATCGTGAGTTATTCAATAAACGTTTTTAAAAACACTTTAATTTTCATACCATTAGTGATTTACATTTATTTTTATTTTTTTATATATATTTGCATTTTCAAATTTACTTTTTCTTTTTAGATTTTTCATTTACATTGGTATATGGTAATTAATTTTTATACACTTTTACTAATATTTTGTTCATTATTTGCCTAAAGCATTTTATATTTTAACACATTTTTAACTTTTTACGTTTTGAAATTAGATTAAAAGTTTCTTGATATACTTGTAACAACAGTAGGGAATAATTCTTTTCTAATTTTAAATTGAATAATTAGTAATAATACTTGTCTCACAAGAATACAATAATTAACAAGTAAGAAATTTAACCATGAGAAAAATAGTGGGAGTGAATCATCTCATAACTTTCAAGAAACCTACACCATTATAATAACTAAACTATATAGATATAGATTATTTGGAATAAATATGACAATAAAATTTTAATTTTTATATGAAAATAAAAAATTTTATATGAAGGTGAGAATAAAATTCTATAAATTAATTTGTATGGAGATGACAATAAAATTTTTATTTTTATATGACAATTTTCAAATTTACAATGTCATTGTTATATATATATATATATATATATATATATATATATATATTTAATGGTAGATTAAGAGTTGTAATTACGTGCTCCTTTTTATCTAGTATAAAAAAAAGATGGATATATTTGCTACTTGCATGGGGAATTATATTATATATTTTCATTGCGAGTGTCACTATGGTTAACAAAAACGAAAAAAACAAAATGACCCATTTACCCGGAGGTCCTTGGAGAGAAACACAAAATCTCAAATGAAATTAATTGGAATGGTGGAGAAAAACTAAAATCTCAAATGAAATTTCAGGCTTTAATTGACCTTAATATTCATTTTTTATTCTTATCCTTTGTTTATTGAAATTTCCCTTAATTAGAGGTTGTGCTTGTGTTTTCTATCATATATTATTAAATTCTTTGTGGCATTAGTGTGCTTAATAACCAATGGATTTATTTCAATCCTTATTAGTCGACGACAGCCCGAAGATGAGCATATATATAAAACAAGTCCATTTTTGCTTAATTTGTACAAGCCAAGCCAAGACATATTAAAAATTGTTATCCATTAATGGTCATACAAGAAATCAGAACGTGGTATACAACTAGTAGCTTTTTGGGAGATATAGGTATATATATTTGCTAGTTGAGCAGGCGTGAGATATGTGAATACTAACCGGCGGCGGAAAAGAAGCTAGCTTGCTATCAATATTATTCTTTGACAACTCTGGAAGCTCGCGAAAAGCACGGAAGCGATGAACAGCACGAAGAAGAAGACGACGACGAAGAAGAAGAAGAGCAGGAATGCTAAAAGCACCCGTGCAGCAGCGATTGAATATTTAGCCATGCTTAATAGCTTGAACTACAAGGGATATGGATGAGAAGTGAGGTAGTATAGTAATATAAACTTGCATTGTAGCAAGAGTACGTTATATAGTAGGACCATGTAATTAATTTGTACATTTAATATGGCATTTGATTACATGCAATCTATATGTAAATATATTTCTCTCTTTTATGTCTGGAAATTCAGATAATATATGAAGAGAAATTCACAAAAATTACAGAAATGTACAATTTTAAACTTGATGCTCTAAATAAGAAATTTTAAATTAATTAAAGTCATGTATGACGAGTGTGATGATTTGATCACATTGAAATGTACAATTACAAAGTTCAAACTTAGATGCTCTAAATAAATTGGGCTTGATTTAGATTTTAGAATAAATAAAATGGGAAAGACTTTCTTAATCAAAACCCCAAAATGAAATTAAGAAAAACAAAGCCGACTTTTATCTTAGAATACAGTTTTTCTCTTTCAAACCTTTGTAGGCAGGTAGGTAGGAGGGCTATGTAGAAAGAAGATGTTTACAAATCTTCATCCTTTTTCAGTTTTTCCTTATTATATATAGGAAGAATTAAGCTAAATAAGAAAATTTTACATAACACACACACACACACATATATAATTATGTATATATGTTATATTCTTCTAGAGAGTTCTCCCCTCCAAGTCCTGTAACGATGCATTGTTTATCTTATAACAGTCAAAATTGAAAATTATGTCGATCATTTATCACAAAAGTCCCCCTTATTGACTTTGGAACCTTCAACCTTCTCCCTATACTTTAATGCTCAGTAGAATCAAGTCTTTCACCTGACCAACACCATCCACATTTTACTCTATATTTGTACACCACATAATTAGCTATTACAATTTTATGAAATACATTTTCATATATTTTTATTTTTATTTCTACGTGGCACCCTTTATGCATTGAAAAAGTTTCAAAGGGCAAAAATCAGAGTTTCTTGTAGATGATCACTTTATTTAAAAAATGATAATAATAAATAAATAATCATTGCTTAATAACACTAGCAACGAATTGTCACTTGTACAAAATAATATACATAACCTGAAAAAATCAGATCAAAATGTTTGTGGAAGCATGAAAGAAAATTTTGATGTGGAGTTTTGATTGTTTGATCTTTATCTAATTAAATAAAGAAAAAATATATATAATTAAATGAATAAAAACAAAACTAGTCCTTTACTAAAAGTTTAAAAGAAATTTATGAAAAAAATTTATAGAACATGAAACTTAAAATTTATCTCATTCTCTCGCTTATTACCGTCAGCTACCATATAAAAATCTCATAAAGAAAACTCCCAAGAATCATTTAAATTTATGAAACATAGGCTTTGAACAGGTCTTCTTAAGGCATTGATTAGTAAAGTAGTTTACCTAATAATCGAATATACATAAAATAGTATATTTTAATATATATATATTAAACAAGTCAGTTCTGGTAAAGCATCATCATAGACCCTATGGTGATTGGCCTGGGAAAACAAGGACAGGTACACCATAGTTATTCAATTGGCTCATGATTTTTCTGATTCTCTCACCCAACCCACAGCTATCAGCCAAGTCCTTGAAAAATAAAAGATGATTGCATCAAAATTCCATATGTACAATGTAATATAAAGGCGAACCATTGATTTCCATAAAGTGTCCAAATATACTTGACCACTAAAATATCACAACAATTTTGCAATTATATTGCCCCTTTTTTTCATACATTCATACTAGATTTTGCTAGCTAAAGACCAACAATTATAGATGACAGGTTAAACATGCTTTTGTTGTTCTAGTTTCATCCCCACTTCTTGTCCTAGAAAAGTTTTTTTTTGGTAAATTTGTTATTGCCTTTTTTCTAATTCTCTAATTAAACCCTTCCCTTTTTACAGTACAAAAGAACCAAAACACCTTACTACAATAGCAAAGATAGAAAATACACTAACATGGAAGAGAGATTTCAACATTCAACAGTCAACCTCTTGAATAAATATAAAGTCAGTTTCTTTTCCTTTCACAACAAATAGAACGAGGGTAAACTTAGAGAACATGTTGAGAGTTGTTACACCCCCAAACTTGAAACACCATAACCAAATTATCCACTCCTAAGCCCCTTCTTTCTCCGGCTGGCTCATCACCGCCATGGATATGCACGGTGATCATAACGACGATAATCCTCCCTTTGATTTCCCTCATAAAAATACAAATGATTTCAATAATAAGATCATACTCACTGTGATTATTTCATTATCTGTTGTTGTTCTTCTTGTTATCATACTTCATATATATACAAGATGTGTCCTACGGCGCCAGGCATCCCGGAGGGCGGCCATATTTCGACAACTAGGTCTGGCAACTGCTCAAGTGCACTCGTCCGAGCCGCCCAAGACCGGGCTTGATCCATCTGTCATTGCTGCCCTACCAGAATTTCTTTTCAAGCAAGATGGCACCCAAGATGACTTGGGCACCATAGAGTGTGCAGTCTGTCTAACTGTGTTGGTGGACGGAGATATGGCTAGGCTTCTACCAAACTGTAAGCATACTTTTCATGCAGAGTGCATTGATAAATGGCTGATTTCACAACCAACATGTCCCATTTGTCGCACTGAGGCTGAGCCACTGCTCATTCCCGAGCCCAGGGAGCAACCCACCATGGATCCACCCACTGCTCCACCTCTAGAACATGTGAACTCTGCTTTCACAAGCGCGGAAGGGACATCAGATGGTGCAGTACAATTGTCAGCTAAGGTTAGCGGATCGAACTCGCGCTTGAGTTCATTTCGGAGGATGCTTAGCAGGGAAAGGTCGTCGAGAAGAGCTCAATCCTGTGGACAAGATGATGGTGTTGAAGATCTTGAAAGACAATGATTGTGGGTAATAATAATTTCTTAATTTCTTCTATATTAATTTGTGTGCTTTTTTGAGTTTTGTTTTTGTATTTGTTATTATAACATAACAAACCATTACATGTAATGATTTTAGTTTTTGTATATGTTGCTATTACAAATCAAAACATCCCGATACAAAATGGAGATGGATTTTCTCAGCTCCGGTCATCCAAAGTTGTTTAGAAAGGTCCGTCAAGAGATCATTCGTCAATATGCTTAAACTTATGGGTCTATATGTCATTAATTGTCATTTTCACTTGGTCGTAGGACTTGGTATTTGGTTACCTAAGATGATTATGATTGAATATAATAGAGACAGGTAAGGTAAGGTCCAGCTCATGTGAACCAAGATCCCTGCTAAGTGTCATTGTATTCTCTTAATCAATAAAAATATCTCATAGATATTTTTATCTCCGGAAACTAGGATTTTCAACACTTGCAGAATAGACAGTAGGAAATGCATAAAAAAATAAAGTAATTAATTACATGACCAAAAAATAATTCTTCTGTTATTGGACGGCTTCATTTTAAACTATCATGTTCCAATTGGTTAGGACACCCTCTGGAGAGTAGGTTTTATGAAATCACCTTTTTAAGGTATATAAATATTATGTTTGGAATAAGGGATTTAAGTTGTTGAGTACCCAAGACCCCACGCCGCAGACCAAAAAAGACTGTTCGCACAAAACAAAAGGGATTCCTCAAGGGTGCCGAAGCTGACTGATTGATGAATTGGTAAATTCAAGAGTTCCATTTCATAACTGCGTTACCCACCCATTTATTCTAAAAGCTTAAACTGTTAGAGAAAGTGTAATTTAAATATATGAATCTTTCAACACGTTCCTTTACGCGTGGCCTTCTTTTGGTCCAACATGTGTTTTTCAAAAAAAAATTCAGGGTGACGGTGAAGTTTGAAGTCGAGATAACTACCTATCTACTCTAAAAGCTTAAATTGTTAGAGATGGTGTAACTTAAATATATAAATCTTTCAACAAAAAGCTTTAGATCATAGAGCAGGTAATTGTTCGACTTCGACTTAAAACTTCAACCACTGAATTGCCTTCTTTCCAACCAAGATTCTAATTGAACGGGAGTTGTCACCTTCTTCACTTCCTAAGTCTTAAACTTAGCCCTGCCCGTCTATCAGGAATTAGCCCCTCCATAGGCTCCATTTATTCACATACGGACACGGCAGCCTCAGCTTGGCACCACAACCGTTCAAAACGACTTTTTCACTTGATTATTCAATGGTCTATCCATGCTGCTGCCTTATGCAGAAGGCTTTCTCCACTCGCGAAAACCACATGAAAGAGCGGCAGAGAGAGGAAGCATATGCTTGGACGCTCTAGGGATCTCTCCCAGTTACTGTATAGCTACTGACGATGTTCTCTCCCTGTTATTTCTTATTTCTTACTTCTTATGAAGTTACCACTAACCTTTTTACAACTTCATCTGGTTAGACTTGAGGTTGGGTAATGATGATTTTTATTTGTTCACGCTTGCATAATTTGGATTTATATCAAATTTTAAAATCCTGCACACTCACATAATTTGCAAACAACTAAAGCAGGTAGTGTGCATAATTTGCTAACAACTAAGCAGGTTGGGTAATGATCTCTCCCAGTTACTGCATAGCTGTTATTTCTTATTTCTTATGAAGTAACCACTTACCTTTTTATCGTGTTAGACTTGAGGTTGGGTAATGATGGTTTTTATTTTTTCACGCTCGCATAATTTGGATTTATATCAAATTTTAAAATCCTGCACTCGCATAATTTGGAAACAACTAAGCAGGGTGGGATTTGGGAGTGCCTAACTCGAGTCTAGCCCGAAAATTTTACAGCGTGAACAAGGTGCTTTAATCTATGGTATTGGAGCTGAGTTTAAACTTCAGAGCTCGAATTTATTTTTTCCTAGTTATGTAATTATATACTTTTAGCATTTTTTTTTCTTCTTGTTATTATTTACTAGTAGGTTATTAAAATGTCAAGAAACCATTTGAAATGCTCACCCCAACATGTCAAGAAACCATTTGAAATGCTCACCCCGCCCGAGTCACTCAAAAAAAAAATATATTTAATAATCACTCAAACGTTACAATGAATTTCAGACTATATCCCACAATTCAATACAAGGTATATAATTTGTCTTTCAGAGTGAAGTTTATTGCACAAGAAACAACCCGCACAATAATAAGTGAAATGATTCCAAATGCAACAATAACAAATTTGGCAATCGACGCCTCTTGTTACCATCCCATTTATATTAGTATGAAATGACTTCTTAAATGCTGATAAAGAAACCGAAAAACTTAGGAAAACATGAAAACACAAACCAAATTAGAAGGAAATTATTTAACTACATGTTGCCAAGCCCAAAGAGTTCACACCATAAGCAAAAGAAATGGTCTAAAAGAATTGTTTACTAGGATACAAGTTGCCAAGAGCTCAAAGAGTTGTTTACCGAGGGAGTGACATGTTGCCAAGAAAATTTTACCCTACATAATCCAAAAGAATTGTTTACCGAGGGAGTGGCATTGCAAAAGTTCCAAAAATTAAATAAATAACAAAAAGAAAAAGCCAGATAGGTCTATAAGGCCTGATTCTAGGCCATGATTGTCAAAAAGCCCTTGGACAGGTTCAAATGGGAACAAATAACCACAGAAATGAGACATCAAGATTCCTAGGCCTTGACTGTCATAGTCCTCTTTGACAGATTGAAATGGGGTATTACATATACAAAACTGAATTGAATCAAAACTGATTTAATTAAACGGACCACAAATTCAAACAGATATATTAGAAGACATTTCACTAATTATAATATATATAATTGTTTAATACAATTCACGAGCAGATACTAATTACCTGATTTATCTTCTCAACAGAAACCTTTGCTTTTGCCTCAATTCTAGGCAACATGCAAGTAACAGAGTCCACCTTTATCCTCCTCATGAGATCAATTTAATTAAATAGAATAAATGAATGGTGATTAAGGCCCAACACCATCTGGCAGTAACGAAATTTCCACTGTTCATATCCGCACTAGACGGCCCCAGTCCAACCGTGGTCGATGACCCAACGAAGCTTCCATTATTCACTGTAAAACTGCATAAGCAAAATATATCACAAAAGTTGGAAGTAACGCTCTTAATGTAAACAAAATCTTGCAATAAGAGCCAGCCATCAATGGTCCCACAAGAAGTGTTCAATTGCATAACGTGACATAGATGACAAGTAAAATCACTCGACCTTACAATCTATACCCTTTGAACTAGAAAATTATAGAATATGGGCATGTTTGGATATTTTATGGAAACTGAATAACCACATCTATAATTTATTCATGATTTCTTTTAACAATATTCTCATGTATGATTTATGCATAATTTTCTCTACAAACATACTCTCATGTTTATGAAAGACATAGTCAAATTCGTTCCTTGAGAGCATACCACATACAGTGGGATGCTATTTGGTTCATGGAAGGCCGTGTGAAAACTCAGAAGCCTGTTTCAAAAGCTACATAAGAAAAATGTTTTGTGCCAAATTACAAGAGAAAGATGAATGTTCGGTATTAAAACACAACGAAACAGAGATAAGTGCTGGAGGATTATTTATATGTGCATAATAGCAATTTATATTGGGAGGCTTTGTTTTGGGTACTAAACACTTGCAAATTTAAAAATTATTCTTCGATCCTCCAAACCATCTTCGAATGTAATTTGGAGCTTGACATCGTCATGAATCTTGTGTCTGCTTTGAAGAGAGAATTGAGTTTTATTAATTTTAAGAGGTTTTTCCTCAAAAATTGTAATATCGTATGCTTTGGACATAATCTAAAAGAAACATTAAATTTCTCATTTTTCAAAAGATACGTTTTATTTGAATTTGTCATGTACAATTTCTTTATTTATTTCAGGGTATTTCACACCATAAAAAAAAAAAAAAAAATGCATAAATTTGCTTTGAGTTGGTTTCTAAGTCCTTGTTATATAGATAGTACTTTGTCACTCCCCAAACCATGTGCCTGAGACTTTCAATGTAGAAGCATCCCTATGTTCTCTCCCTCCTGTAATAGCATCCTTCAATTGTCCCATGTAGGAACTCAATTATCTGTAAGTGCAATATTTTTAACTAATCTTACTTATCAGGAGAAAAATTTAAAAATCTATCTATCTGCCTTTGCCTAAATAAATTTTTTTTTTTTTTGACAAGTCTTTGCCTAAATAATATTTCATGGATGTGTTTTTTTTATTTTTTAATGTCTTCTGCTTTGAACATTTCGGATGCTTGTTTTTAAATGTTTCATGGATTTCCATTCTGAAATTCTTTATGCTCATGAAGTTTGTAAAACACTGTGTCTAGGTTTTCTTAACATGGGTTTCAACGTGCAGTATGCAACTTGTTTAGATGATTATTCTAGTTCCTGTCCTATAAATTGAAGTAATGGAGATGGTCTATTTTCCGGCATTATGAATTGGGAATTACGTGACGGCATTTAAATTATTTAGTAGAGGATCACTAGTACACTATCACACTCCAAATGCCTGAGTGGCTTTGGCGCTTGAGTACAGTTCTAGATTTCACACACAGACAAATGTCCAAAGTGTTTTACCTAGCAACTAATTTGTACCTTCAACAGTATGCAACTGAAAATGCACCACTCTTATTAACTAGGAAAAATAAAAATAAAAAATAAAAAATGGACCACTCAATTTCAAATCTGCTTAAAACTTTCTAAGTAGAAACTGATCACAACAAATTTTAAATCAATTACCTGGACGGAAATTTGCAAGTACCATGACCTGAAATCAAAAACAAAAGAAAATAAGATTAAAAACAAAATCACAAAATTAGCTAAACAAAATATTGGGGTTAAGAGATCAAAACCCTCTAAAGAAGTATCTTTTTCTTTAGTAAACCCTTACTAGGGTTGAGGGAGGTGAGAGCGGCTGTGCTGTCAAAATTACAGCTGTCCTCCGTCAAGCCATGCTTGAGAAAGTAGTCATTGAAGGCAAACGACGCCGTCCTCTGAATGTCGGCCGGATCGTAGCAGGGCCCACCTTGCTGGATCGGACGGCAATCGGAACCTCCGGACCCACAGGCCCAGTCCAAGGCCGACTGCAGGGCCGAGTTCTCGGCGTTGTTCTTGGCCACGCACCAGAGCTCCACCGACACTACGCCGCCGTCTTGGGCGGAGGTGGATTGTCTGAGGGTGGTGGGGTGCTGCTGGGTGTGAGAAAGGGAGTTAAAGGGGAGTGTGGTGATGAAGATGAGGGAGAGGATGAGAGAGAAAGAGGAATTCGTGGACATTTTAGAGAGAGAGAGAGAGATGGAATGTGGAGAGGAGAGAAAAGTGACGAGATGTAACGGTTAGAAATGGTTTATTGTGGGTTTATTTTTAGGTGAAGATGGGAATGCGACCGTTAGCTTGGTGTATTGAAAACAGGGATCGAACCAGAGAAGAGACAGAGCTCTCTAGATTCGCCTGCATCTCTGTCGCTTTGTCCGTTTAAATAAAAATAAGAAATTATAGATTAACCCCTCTCTCAAAAAAAAAAAAAAAAAACTACTACTGTTACACAAAACAGTTCCATCAGTTAACTTATTAACATATCATGTTCTTCACTGCTCAAATCTGATGCTATCTGTCTGCTAAAACTTGTGGAGTTATTGATCGGTAACCGCACGTATGAGAAGTAACATAACTAAAACATACACGCTTTACATTGTACTTTTCTTTTTTTTGTCCTTTTTCTTTCCCTTTTTCTTTCTTTTTAATAAAACAAATAAAAATTAAGAAAAAGGAGATTTAAGCGGCGGAAATTAGATAAAATTTAAATTTTATTAGGTTGTTTGTAGAATTGCAAAAAGTAACGGCAGTGTGTTAGGTACATCAACTGTACGGTGTTTTTTATTATTATTATTTATTTATCATCAATTGTTTATTATTTATTATTATTATTACCTTCACTCACACACTACTGTTTTTTCTTTTGCGAACACCCGATTCGACGTCTACTCCTCTTTATAAATAGGGAGGTTATTTGTATTATTAAAGATAGTGCGACAAAAAAAAATAATAATAATGTTATATGAAAAAATGTAAAAAAAATATTTGTACTATTAAGTATGTGCATATAAATTTGTAACATTTGAAACATATGTGCCGGTTAATTTTGACTAAAACTTTTTATAAAAACTCCAAAATAACCTTTTAAAATTTTTTACTTTTATCTTTAGAGTATTTTAGATATTTCAATTTTCAAATTGTAGTTTTTTTCTTTTTTTGTTTCGGCGAGAACCTCACACAACCACATTCAATATACAACGGAATTTCTGATTTTGCACTTTATCCCATAAAGAAAACCAGTTAACTAAAATAAATTACAAAGATCACGAGGGTAGATCATAACTCAAACTTACTAAAATTCATTGGACCCTCCCAAAAAAGAATCAAAACACTCGATTATCAACTCCAAAAATAGAAACTTTGAAATAAATTTAACTTACAAGTATGTTCCATCAACACTCGTAGAAAAAAGTCACCTTAAATCGTTTTAGTGATACTTCAAACATCCCTAATCTTGTTAACAAAAATATAATTTCATTATTATTATAGCAATTTTATCTATCATAGATTCTTATCAATTCAAGAGAGACCAAAGAAAAAATTACACTAATGAACCTTCGAGTTTTTAAAGAATGCATAAACATTTCAAGTGAACATTTTCAAAAGATGGTGGTTATGATTAAAAAAAAATCTAAAATTATATATTAATCTTCATTGACAACATTTGAGAGCATTGAAAAAAAAAAAAAAAAAACTAACTAAAATATTGTGAGACCACGGTGGTACTTTTTGAAGGGCCTCCCACTAGCATGTCAGAGTTGTTGGTTAAAGCGCTGAAGCACATGAATGCTGAAGACATCATAAATGCACGAAAAGAAAAGGAAGGAGATGACAAGAAGAGATTAACCCCTATCACCAGGGATGAGAAGGAAACCAAATACAATAAATCATTCTTCAACCAAAGCGATAGGACCTCTTGTGAGAAGGACTCAGATAAATATGCCGACTACACTCCTTTGAATACGTTAATTGGCCATATTTTTTTACAGATCCAAGACTATGTGTCTTTGAAATGGCCACAGAGGATGAAGTCTGATCCAGCGAAAAGACCACGAGATAAATATTGTAGGTTCCATCGGGATCATGGGCACACCCATGGATGATTGTTTTGACCTTAAGAATCTAACTCGAATGGGTCACTTGCAAAAGTTTGTTGCCAATGAAGGTACCAACCCCAATAATTGCCTTATGGGGTAACAACTAATTGGGGATATCATGATCATTTCTGGATGAGTAAACCTAGGATGACGAATCCAACTCGGCTCATGAGATTAACGTGATAAAAGTTGCCTCCCAGTTGGAATCAACCTTATCAAGTCATCCAAAATAAAGACTATGGGCATTCCATTTAATCACTTTAAAGGGAGGATAGCTCTCTCACATATTGTCATCTTATTTTCCAATAAAGTCACCATCACCAATAAGATGGATGACCCCTAATGTTAAAATAAAATATTATTTGTTTCAGTTACCTTTGAATGACCTATGTGGTAATGTTTTTATATAAAGCTAACAAAAAACCAAACTCTCTTACTAAAAGGATTAAACGAGTAAAGCTCGTGAAAACAGTTCCCTTACTAAATAGACGAGCTGATTGAAGCTCACAAGAACTCATTCCCTTATTAAAGGGACAAGCTGAGTGAAGCTTGTAAAAATTAATTCCCTTACTAAAGGGACGAGCTAAGTAAAGCTCATAAAAATTTAATCCCTTACTAAAGGGAAATGTTGAATGAAGCTTGCAAAATTTATTCACTTACCAAAGGGATAAACTATAATACCCCTAATTTTAAAAGGATAGTCTCGATATTTAATTAATTGTTTTAATTGCATTTTTTATTATTTCTTGGATTTCTTGGCTATTTGTTTAATTGTTTATATATTTATTTGAATTATTTGTCTAATTAAATTGTATGATTAATGATATGTATTTGTTTGTTTAAATGTTAGTTGTTTCCTTGTAATTAATCGTTACAATTAAATGATTTAAATATTATCTTTTTGTTTTATTTTATTTTAATGGTTATGGATTGTAGTCATGGACCAAACCCATGGGTTGCATGGACTACTTGGATAGGAGTTTTAACGGGTACAAATAATTACCCATGGATAGTGATACATATATTGTAATACCCCTTGTTTTTAAAAGGATAAAATGGGAATTTAATTTTGATTTTATTGTATTTTTATTTAATTATGTGACTTACGTGACTTATGTATTTTTCTTAATTGATTAATTATGTTTATTTAAATTAATTATTTAACTATAATTGTTTTATTGGTTGTATTTTTAATTGGTTAATTGTGAGTTAATTTAATTATTTGATTAATTTGTGATTTAAATGACATACGTTTTATATGACTTATTTGTTTAAATTATTTGTTTTATTTGGTCGTGTATGTAGTTTAGGATTAAGGTTTTATTATTTTATGGTATTATAGTAGCCGACTTATATTAGGGTTTAATTAAAGCCTATAGATATACGGTTATAATCAGACTTATGATTGGGATGCCTATATATATATTCTTATATGTCTGCTAGGGTTGGGAAAAACCCTACTCACGCAATAGTCTAGAGAGGGGAAAAACAGAGGCTGTGGAATAGTTTTGAGAGATAAACAGAGAGGGTCTTGAGAAATTAATTAAGGGAGTTGCTTGTGGGTTGAGCCAAGAAGTAACAGAGGTATAAAGCAGTGAACAGAGGAGGAAGGAATGGTCTTGGGGGTTGTCGGAACTTGGAGACGGATGTTGAAAGGTTTCAAATCGAAACCTAAAGGCAAGTTTCATTTTATCTCCTTCCTGTAAACTTGTGTTCTGTGCATTCTATATAGTCTCTAGGGATTAATTCAACTTTTAAAACTGATGGTTGATGCATGTTATATCGGACTGTAACTTGTTTTACGTTTAAATAACTGAAATCGGTTTCTTGCATAAACTGTGTTGTTTTTTATTTAAACTTCTGTCAATAAATTCACAATAGAATTTGAGGAGTTTCTAGAACTGTTGGGACTTATATTAAACCTTAAGAACTTTAAGAAAATTTAGAACAGAGGACTGAACTTCGCCGGAAGCAAAGAAGACAAACAGAGGAAGCATAAACTGTTTCGATTATGGTTTATGTTTTTGTCAATTAATTCATACTGAAATTGGAGAAGTTTTTAGGATTGTTAGGACTTAAATTGAATCTTAAAAAAAAAAATCTTTAATAAAAGTGAGACAGAGGACTGAAGCTTTGCCGGAAGCGGAGAAGGCAAACAGAGGAAATGAAGAAGGAAAAACGGAGGCTGAGAGAGTGGAGGAAGCTCCACCCTTTAATGGAGCAGGCTCCATTGAAGTGGAGCAGGCTCCACACTCTTGTGGAGGCGGCTCCAAGAGGGTAGAGCAGGCTCCACACTTTTGTGGAGCCGACTCCTCTTTTGTAAATACACACTAAATGTATTTCTTTGACATTTTTGGGATTTCAGGGCTCCAATGTTGTTTTAAACTTGGTTGGATGGTTTTAAATGTTGTAATTAAGTAGGATAAAACTAAAGAATGATTAATTCATGCTAGGAACTTGATCAACATAAGATTTAAAATTAAATTCGTATGCGGTTTACGGCTTGGAAGAATTTAAATAGCTTGTCGTAATGTTTAAGCAAATTTAATGGAGGGGTTTTAAAATGATTTTTATAACATTATTAAGTCCCAGGAATGTTGGTTTCTACTGTAGTTATAGAGATCATGAAATTTAGATACTAAATTGTATGCTGTCAGGAATAGTGGAAGTTGAAATTTCTAGTCTCACTTTAGTAAACTATATGGACTAGTATGGAGGTGGTTTTGGCATTCAAATATAATGTGTTCAATTTATACTTCCGTGTATCAATATATTATGCTCGGGATTTATATTTGAGGATTAAATGACGTTATGAAATTTGAATTTGAATTTACATGACATCAAGGATTGAGGAGGATTTAAATTGCTAGGTTTGCTTTAGCAAAGTACATGGACTAATGTGGTTGTATTTTTGGCATTCTAGTATAATGTATTCAGTTTCAATTCTGTTTAGCATTATATCGTGCAATGGATGTTAATTGATGAACTGTTAAAATTTCTGTTCCGTCAATTTTGTGGATATGGTTGATTTAAATTGTTTAATATGCGTTAGCAATTTAAATGGAGGATATATGAATTGTAATCATATACTGGATGCATAAGGAAATCTTGCATATATCTGATTTCTATTATATGGTTTATGGATGGATTTGATGTTCAAATGAATAAGCATCATTTTTGGATCATATGCATTATATGCACCGGTATGGGACGGTGGCATATCAGGGACGGATTAGATCAAAACGCTAAATCTTACCTGTTCATACATACGGAATGGATTAACTAAAACAGTTAAATCCTACATGGGTGTATGTCCTATCAACTAAAACAGTTGAACGACATAACGGATGGTTGTTTTATTTTTCTATATTAGGAAGAATTTATATATATACTTATGGTACCGTAATAT